AAAAAAAAAAAAAAAAGAAATGCTTCCTCTATTTAAAAATAGATCTTAAAATCCCTTCTGTACTTTCTGCCAGTTTTTCTTTTTTAAGCTTCACTTTTTACATGCAATGCTTGATCTTTCTGAAGTTTATTTTGATGGGAAGGAGAAGTTCAAACTTATTTTTCCCTATGGCTAGTCAGTTGATAACACCACCCCTTCATATCATTAGAGACAGTATTATTACATGAGACAGAGTAAAATTTCAATAAGGATCACGAGGTTTCCTTCCCTTGCCTTGGAGCAAGGGGAAGAAAACCTAGCTGGTATCTTAACTGCCTGGGGAAAAAACAGTTGAATTGGCAATTAGGCTTCAGATGCCAAAGTGTTGCATGAATCAATGCCCCATTTGATTTGGCACCAAGTTGCTTTTTCCACTAGAGAAGTATCCCCATTTGTCCTGGCTGGTTTAGGAGTGTGGGGGGAACCTATCAACTTTGAAATTTCCCCAATCTCACATGTTGCTTCCTCAAGATTCTACAGGTGTCCTTACAACTGAACACTCAGGAATATATACAACTTCATTAACACTGGGGAAATGACCTTTGCCTAGAACAGCTTCTCACATGTAACCTAGTACAACCTCCTCCTTTTCTAATTCTTTTCCACTATCTACCCTTGGCTGGCCTTGAACTTTAGATCCTTCTACTTCTGACTTCCACGTACTGATATTAGAGTTGTTTGCCACCGTGCCTGGCCCATTCTTTTAAACCCAGAATAAAACTCAAAACCAAAGGAGGTATTTTGGGAATTCAAAAGAGAAGGATTTATGAAGATCACTGAACCTCTGAAATCTTTGAAATTATCTGACTGCTAATGACAGAACTAGGACTCTTTTTACTACCTAGGAGAAACAGGAGATCCCTCACTTACCATCATAGCCTCCAAGTACAAGCCATGGGAACACTGGTCCTCCAAATGTACCCAGGCAAGGGTCATGGAGCATACTTGTGTCATTCAGAGAGGCAGGAGCTCTGCCAAAAGATGAGAAAACACCTCAAAATTAGAACACGCTTTAAGACACCATAGAGGTCTAAACATTTAGACCACAGCATTTAGAGGGCCTTGGGCTTCCTCAGTTAATATGTTTGTCACTCACCTCTGGGGGCTCAGACATTGAACAAGAGGTAGCAGATACAGTCTGGCACCATTAGTGGTACATAAGGAAGAGACAAAAGACACAAAAGGCACAATGCCTCCCAAAGGAAGAGACCTATATGGAGAACTCCGTTTCTTAAGGGTGAAAATTCAGCAGGGGAGTAGGAAAGAGAGCAAGGTCATAGGATCAAAACTACATAGTTATAATTGTGGGGAGAGGGAACATGTGTGTGACAGGAAAAAGCAAGAGGAGAGTGGTTCAGGAAATGGTAAGCCCTATCTTAGAGCGTAAGGTGCCCACAAATAGGGTCTCCTAGGATAGTAGGGCTGGAAAGGGCAAAGAGGAGGTGAAGGAAGGGGTGAAATTGTCCAAAAAGAAATGTACTCATTACCTCACTTATGTACCTATAACCCTTCTGTATATTACACATTTATAGTAACAATTTAAAAAAAGAAAAAGAATAGATGAGGGCAAAAACATCTGTAGTAAGTAGCTTAGGTTTTTAGCCTAGAGGCACTAGGGAGAAGTTAGGGTTCTGGGAAAGGGATGCCATGAGCTGTTTTACAAAGTTGGCTTGGTGAAGCGCAAGAAGGTCTTCAAATGGGAGAGAAACAGGAAGCAGGAGTGCAGTTAGGAGGCCTATGTATTGGCCCCAGAAAGAGAGGCAGGCGGGGGAGGGGGGAGGAGGGACGTGGGGAGAGAGAATCAAAATGTCATGCCAGTCACCAGCCAGAACTTGCCCTTCATGGCTGCAGGATCAGCTCAGCCATGGAGGCAGGTGACCTGCAGCTGGAACAGAATATCCTTCCTACAGCTGAGTGACTCAATGTCACGGACATCCTGAAGTTGAAGCCCACAACAGTCACTTGAGGACATTGGGAATAAGGGGGGGAAATCAGCAACAGAGCCTCACATTTGAATAACTGGTAGGTAGGTGTCTGTGCTATTAAATGATGGGAAATAGTGTATCTCTGCTTGGTTCTGGGCAGGTCAAGTCTGATGTTCATGTAGGATGGACAGGTAGGAAAGCAGGGAAGGCTGGAGGGTATGAAAAGGTGGGAGCAGAAGGGCCTGAGATCATAGAGATGCACATGAGACCACAAACCAATTGCACACCATTGCAAAATGCTTTTTTCTCATCACCACCACTCCCTCGTACCACCTGCCATGTTGAGAATGCTGGTTTGGGGCCTATGAGGATACTACACTTATTGTTCAATGAGTATAACTCATGTTTTCAGAGGTGATACCCCTAAAGTAGAGCAAACACAGCCCAATTGTCTTAAGAGTCTCATTCCGATGACAAAACTTGGCCTTGGAGATGTGGTCAATGGAGAAGGACGCTCAAGGAGAGAAGTGATTTTTCTGCTTCCACAGTAAAGAGAAATATCCACTGCGGTTATTTATCTTGCTAAACACCTGTTTCTTAGGACTATACCACTCAGGGACACCAGGTCTACTTGGCATTGCCATTCTTTCTGCTACCCCAAATTCCCTCACAGGTGAGCCAAAGTGGGTGACGAACCTCAATTAGCCACCGCCCAAATGACACATGGCCTCCTAAGTTGGAGCTGCATGCCAACCCTCCCCACTCTCTAAATGGAGGTTACAAGATACAAAGTTATATTTGAAAGATTTAAAAAAAAAAGCACGACAGGATTCCATCTTCATGAATGACTTACCGGACACAGTACAAAAAGTGTGTGTGGAAATCAGCGTATATATAAAAGTCATCCTGTATTTTGTGGTCCAGCATCAAATGGCTGTTCTGGAAGTAATTTAGCACACTCATAATGGTGCAATTCTTGTTATAAGGTGACAGTGGGGCCACACAGATGTCCTGAAGTGTCACAGTCTCATTGTTATAAAATGCAACAATGTTTTCAATGTCTGTTTGTAAGTCAAGAACCTGAAAGAAGATTTAAAACAAAAATAAGTAAACCCAGAAATACCAGATTCCTTAAGATCTTTACAAACCAGTGCTGTCCTAAGTGGTAAGGAAAGTGCTTTAGGAAAATTCTTCCCAAGAAGCATGAGGAAGAAGGCACACCATGGAAATACATTTGGTGGTGCTAAAGACCCATTCTTACAGCAAAGTAGGATGAAGACCCTGGATGTGTCCAGAGATGGGGAGGGGACCTGACCGAGATGGACCTCAACAAAGGACACACAACCATCTCTCTCACATACTCCTCTGGCTGCCACCAAAGAGGTCTCAGAGGGAAGAGTGCATGATTATTCCTCCTTGCCAAAGACATACCCTCTACTGCCTTGCTCCTCACTGTGCCCACGCCCATACTTCCTAATAGAGACCATGCTCCTAGAGGTAAATGACTGCTGTTCAGCTTTTGCAACAAGTAGGGAAAAAGCAATGGTCATTAGGTGGAGAAAGAATTTTTACTAAAGTTGTGTGACTATTTTGATGCTTTTCAATACTTTGCACTTTCTGTAAATAAGAACATTTACAAGAAAAAGTATTCAGTTCATTAAAAAAAAAAGAAGAAGAATGGAGAAATGGCACTGTGGCTCAAGTGGTAGAGCACTTGACTTGAGCTCAAGAGCTCAGGAACAGTGTCCAGGCCCAGAGTTCAAGCCCACAACCAAAAAAAAAAAAAAAAGAATGGACTGAGGGACTGAGTGTGGTGGCTCATATTTGTAATCCTAGCTACTGGGGAAACTGTGATGGAAGGATTGTGATTCCTGTCCAACCTGTGCGGAAAGCTCAAGAGATTTTATCTTAAAAATAACCACAGAGTTGCACATGGAGTTTTCATTAAGCCCAGTTCCTCAGAAGGAGGAGGCAGGGAAACAGGATTAAGAGTCAGAGGCCAGCCTAGACAAATGTAGTAAAATACTGTCTCAACAACAACATAAAAAAGGCACGGTGGCCAGACACTGGTAGCTCATGTCTGTAATCCTAGCTACTCAGAAGGCTGAAATCTGAGGATTGCAGTTTGAAGCAGTCCAAGTAGGAAAGCCTGTAAGATTCTCATCTCTAATTAACCACCCAGAAGTGGTTCAAGTGGTAGAGTGCTAGATTGGAGTAGAAAAAGTTACGAAACAGTGATTAGGCCCTGAGTTCAAGCCCCAGTAACAGCACAAAAAATAACAATAAAAGGACCAGAGTGTGTGGCTTAAGGAGCATTTGCCTAGCCTATACCAAGGCTAAGGGTTCAATCCCAAGTATTGTGGTAGGGAGGGAAGGGTAGTAAATGTAATTTATTCACAAGTTCTTTTCTCCACAGCAAGTATGCCTGGGCCATGGTAAGCACTAAATAAGTGATAGTTCTCATTCCAAATGTACCTTCCACCAATGACAGAAACCTCTATAAGCTTATTTCTAGAACACTCTCAGCAATGCTCCAGCATCTCCTGTCCCCAGCCCTAGGACAAAATAAAAAACTTCCTATATTCCCTGTATGACAACTGGTTGTCCATCCAGGCTGGGAGCAGGGCCTAGATCCTTCATGATTCAGATCTCTTTGTGGACTTCTTGGCTCCTTCACAGCATTGGATTCTAGGTTTAGAGAGAAAGAATCCCAAGAGAGCCATAAAACTGCATTAGTGTCTTCTATAAACTGGTGTCAGAAGTCATCTAACCTCATATCCATCAGAGTCCCAGGTCTTCCAAAATTCAAAGGAATATAGCTCAGTAGTAGAGAGCTTGTAAAGCATGTACAAGGTCCTGGGATCCATCCCAAACACCTCAAAAATTAGCAAACAACGGGAGGAAACATCCACCTCCTCTCATCACCAGAGGAGCATTAGTCACATTGAGAAGAAAAAGTGGGTGGGAGATGTCATTACAGCCATGTTGACCTTCATGTCATACTAAGCTACAACTCCTAGCCTAGACACTTTGGGTAATAAAGGCACTATTATTGTTCTCAAAAAGGAAAAAAAAACAACCTTAATCCTTTGGACTTTGTCATACTATTTTCAGTTACCAAAGAAAACAGCCTCTAAATTCCTAAGGTAAATTCCATATATATGTGTACATTCTTTTGTAACAGAAAGTCTGCTCATCTCAATTTCCAGAAAAAAGACCTTCTGTATGCAGTCAATCTAAAAATGAGCAATAGCAAGATTTCCATTAAGTTCAATGCCCATCATCATGTTCTTGCAATGTAAATTAAAATGCCTTTGCTTTCTGTTTAAAGATTTTCAAGTAACATCACTACTTTAAAGTTCAAAAGCTGAACCAGGTAGAACTGGTCAACATGGAAAAACCAGCATGCCTGAAGTTCTCCTGGATGGACATATGTTTGTAAATAGCAGATTACCTGGTGCAAAATCTCGAGATCAAGTGGAGGTCCAAAGGGTACATTGGCTCCTGAAGGGTACGGCTCATAAATGTGTACACTGGTGTGGGGGGCCTGGATAATTAGCTGTTCCGTCCGGAAGAAAGGCCCAAAGTGTGTGTCAAAGTACTCTTTCTCTAGGCGGGCTTGGCTATTGGGGGATGACCAGAGTTCCACAGGATTGGTGGTGACTTGGACAAACACCAAGCCTGAAGAACATGCGGCGATGAAGACCAGCGAGAAGAAAATGATGCAACCAGGGTTTCGGACGCAGAAAGCCCCCCATTGTGTGAACAGACGCTTCAAACAGCCCTCAAATGCTGCACCAAGTGGGTCACAGCAGGAAGTATCCCCTGGAAGACAGGAAGAGGAAAGGAATATGGAGGTTAAGAGCCACACTATTTCTCCAAGTTGGAACAGGGAGAGCATTGGCTCCCAGTTGTGTGTGTCAAACCAGCCCCAACTTCCTCCCCCAACCTCAACTGCCCATGTTCATGATCCCTCTGCCATTGATCTGCTCAGAAATCCACTCTCCTTTGCTGCCCATGATGAATGCGAATCCATTTTATGGAGGAACAAAGCCGTACACCAGCCTCTGGAAAGTGAAGTTTTCTGACTTCTCTTGACCACAGTTCCCTTTAATCTTGCCCTCAGTGCCTTTGTGGCTCTTACTCCCATCCATAATTAGTTCACTGCTATTATTAACACTTGGTTCTGAAAAGCAATGCTCAGAAGAAAACAATGCCACAAAGGCACAGCTGTGTCCTTGGTACTAGTACACTGTCTCACAGACCAGGTACAATGTTTCTGGAGGAAATGAAGACTCTCAGGCCAACATCTGTTTTTCGGTCAAAGAACCAACCCTTTAACTTCAGTACCAATGGGCCTACCTTTGTCACTGCTGTTCACAGAAAAGGCTATATTGCTGTCAATGGGTGTGTACTCAAACACAAAATAACGTTTTCTGAAAAATAAACGTATGTAAAGTAGTATTAGTGGACATCATCACAAAGAGGCTGTTATTTTTAACAGCTTGCTTCTTCAAACTGTCTTCCTCCTCCCCAGTTCTCCCCATCTTCTTTCCCCTAAGTTCCCAGGATCTCTAGGCCCAGTAGTCTCAGGAGAAAAGTTAAGAAGAGAATGTTTTTCCCAAGTTTCATTGTTTGACTTTCATGCATGCAAATAATTTGACAATATAGGAAGACATTTAATAAACAAACCATTAAGAGACAATTTCACCTTGTCTCCACAGTAGTAACAAGCACACCTAGAGCCCAGATCTTGGTTTCTACCATTCTCCAACCAAAGAACAAGAGTTCTTTGAAGAACAGCCAGGTCTGGAGCCAAGAAAAATGTCCAAACCAGAAAGCAACAAAATAGATAATACTGGATACAAGCCATATAACCAATAAAAGCTTATAATGTAAATAATTGAATAAGTGCAGGAAGAAGCCCAGTTAGTAAATGTAGATGAGTAAAAGAAACCTCAATCACCATTAGGCGAACATCATAGAAATAATGGCTGTATAAGACCAAACTACCAGTGAAGAGTGGGTGACAGTTTCAGAAGAAATAAAGTATCATAGTATTCAAGTATCTCATCTCAGAAAATTTCAATTATAAGGGGAAAGAATAGTAACTTCACAGTGGACATCACCTATACCATATGTTAACATCACTGGTATTGAGACATCCAGATATCGTGAACCCCTGATATAGTATTTTGAGAAAGACATTATCATCATATTTGTGATGTTCTATCCATGAGAAAACATTGGCTGAAGCTCAACTTGAAGACATGGTAAAGAATAACTAAACAGCATTCACCAAGAATGCCAAGACTATAAAAAAGGAAAGACAGAGGAACTGGAGGAGACTAACAAAACACAAAAAGTGAATGTACCAGGAAGTCCTAAAACCAAACAATGAACATGGAGAACATCAATGGATATAGTCTGCAGTTCAGCTAATATTTTATCAGTGATATTTTCATGGTTCTGATCATTATGAGTTCTGTAAGTTGTAATACTAAGGAAACTAGAAAAAGGAGATATATAAAGATACTAGTGTAACAGGTTGGTAAGTTTCAAATTATTTAAAAAGAAAAAGTTAATGAAATGTACTACCCTAAATAAAGATGCATTACTGAAGAGGACTATAATACTGTAGTTAATAATATTTGGGTCATGTAACTGTAGATTTCTAAAGAATAATGCATGATGCTTTAGATTTTACAGAATTCTTAATAAATTAATAAAACTAACTCCAGTTGGATGCCAGTGGCTCACACCTATAATCCTAGCTACTCAGGAAGCTGAGATTTGAGGATCACAGTTTGGAGCCAGCCTGTACAGGAACGGCCATGAGATTCTTATATCCAATAAACTAGTAAAAAGCCCTAAAGCAGAGCTATGGCTCAAGTGGTAGAGTACAAGCCTTAAGCAAAAAAAGCTCAGGGACAGAGCTCCAGGCCCTGAGTTCAAGCCCTAGGATTGGTACAAAAACAAAAACCCTAATTCCAAATGTCTAGATGAACTCGACTCTTTACTAGCAACAGGATCTACATAATCTATGGAATGTTATCCCATGGATTTTTATTTCCTGTTCTGATTAAGATTTGGCAAGTACAAACTAAAAGTGCCACTTAATTTTATTTTTATTGCCTTTGATGAAGGAAAAAAAAAGGCACTTACCTATAGCACCACACTGCAAAAAATGCTCCAAAAAACACAAACAAAAATGCCATGTAGGTGATCCACATAATGACATACATGGCGTCCAAGCCAAAGATCCTCCAGGGAACAGGAGGGGGTGGGGGCTGGGGCTTGGGGCCACACACGATGGAGCAGTCCTGGCAGCTGCAGGGCCCCGTGATCTCATCTACTGACTCGTTGCAGCCTTTGGTTGCATTTCTCATGGGCTCCATACCATGGATGGGAAGATCTAAAGGAAGGAATTGCGTTGAATGGTGATCTCAAGGAAAAAGCATTAAAACTTTAGCAGTAAGTGATATTTAAACCCAACAATAAGCACATTCAAATACAACCCAACTGCAAGAATAAGAACTAGAGATTTTTGTTTCATTTTTTAACCAAGTTGTGCGTTGTTGCTTTCTTTGTAAAAATTGAAGAGATGTCAATAATTCTGCACAGGGTAGTCACTGACTGCCAACTACACCACATACCAAGCTGATTTTTCCATCATGTCTTATTCCATTCTGAGCAGCTAGGGTAAATGCTATGGGCTAATACTATACTAGCTCTCTGGGTGCTTCTTAAAATAAGCAAGCAAGCAAATTCACAAGTTAGTCTCTGAATTATATTATCAATCTCTAAAGTCACTTCTTTTTCTTGCATTCCAACTCCCAAACCACCTAACTCAACCAAGGCAGGGTAAATACCCTGGTGGCATTTATTTTTATTATTTATTTGCCAGTCCTGGGGCTTAAACTCAGGGCCTGGGAACTGTCCCTGAGCTTCTTTTATTCAAGGCTAACCCGCTACCACTTGAGCCAGCACCACTTCTGGCCTTTTCTGTTTATGTTGTACTGAGGAATCGAACCCAGGACTTCATGCATACTAGGCAAGCATTCTATCACTAAACCACCCTCCCAGTCCTATTTTTATTTTTTTGTGCTGGTACTCAGGGCCTCACATTTTTGTTTAGCTTTTTTGTTCCAGGCTAGTACTCTATCATGTAAGCTCTACTTCTATGTTGGACTTTTTTCTGGTTAATTGAAGAATCCAGGATTTTTTTTCTGTTGGGCTGGATGAAGATTCTCAGATCTTAGCCTCCTGGGTAACTAGAATTACAGTCATGAGCCCCTGGCATCTGGTAGTAGCTACCTTTCTTATAGGAGAAACTCTAGAAAGTAGGTATCTGAATTTGCTTATCTTCCATTTGAAGAGTATGATTCCCTAGCTTTAAAACATCATAAATATGTCACATTTGGGAGTTGTTGTCCTTACCTGAAAAAATGGGAGTGATAGTAAATGGTGTCTGTCCATTGTCCTTACTGAACATATACTCAATCCAATTGGTGGCATTACAGGCACTAGCATCCTTTCCACACAAGAGTCCCAGGGCCTTGTCATTACTGGAGGGGGCCTCCACATCCCGGCAGGCATTGTACATTGCTAGAAGAAGATTTGAAAGGGAAAAAGGTGGAGACCTGATGTTAATTTCCCAGCAAGATCTTACAAAAAGCCTCTGAAATATAAATGCAAGACTTGATATGCACTGCAAACATGCTAGCCAGCAGAATGGAATGTGGAGCAGTGAACTCTACAGGCAGGGAACCTCCCTTAAATTAGCTTACCAGACCATGCCTGATTCTAAGCCATACCAGGTTCCAAGTAACTCAAAACAAAACACAACAGGAAAGGGAAAGGATTATGACAAGACACTGAGTTCTCAAAACAGTTTCAAGAAGACTCTCAGTACAGAGGAGAGTATTAAGACTTGGGAAAGAGAACCCTAGGACCTTCTGAGATAACGAAGCTGCAGCAGGAACTACACAGCTAGAGAACTGCAGAATTTGCAGGGGAAACTAGCTTTGGGGCAGAGATAACCTCTGTGTGAATGAACCCAATGCTATTCTCTTTTTTGGTTTTGCTGCAATACACATCAGGACAACATATTACAAAAAGACAATATTGATCATGTTCTCTACACAAGGAAGCACTTAGAGTGGGTTCTATACCGTTCATTTTCATTCACACATCCCTGTTTGCTAAAAAGTTCCCAGGATCTTTTCCCTCTAAGTCCTATGAAAGGAGATGATTACATATTCATTTTGAAAAAGAAGTTAGCTAGAATGAATTATCTTTCTCAGAAATCTGAATGTTATTTTATTACTAGATTCTGGTAAAAAAAATTGCCAGTTGTCATTCTTTTGAGGTGATTTGTATCTTTTTCTCTATTTGTCTTTGGATTCAAGTTTTTAAAAAAAGACTATGCTTGTAGATTTATTTTCGCCTTTAAAAACATTATTGAAATATAATTCACAAACAGGGTACTAGTGGCTCATGCCTGTAATCCTAGCTACTCAGGAGGCTGAGACCTGATTAAGGTTATTTGAAGCCAGTACACACAAGAAAGTCCATAAGACTCTTACGTCCAATTTAAGCCAGAAATGGAGCTGTGGCTCAAATGGTAGAATGCTAGCCTTGAACAAAAAAATCTTAGAGTCAGTGTCCAGGCACTTAGTTCAAGTCCAAGGACTGGCGCAAAAGAAAAAGAAAAAAAGAAATGCAAGTGGCATTATGGCTCAAGTGGTAGAGTGCTAGCCTTGAACAAAAGAAGCTCAGGGGCAGTGCCCAGGCCCTGAGTTCCAGCCCCAGGATTGGCCAAAAAAAAAAATGTAATTCACATACAATACATACAACTTAATGGATTTTAGCATATTTCAATATGTAAAAACCTATCTGCTCAAAAAGAAATTCTGTATTCTTTAGATATGATCCTATCTCCTGACCTTTCAAGTTCTTAGTAACCACTAATCTTTCCATCTCTATAAAGTTGATTATTTTGGACATTTTGAACAAATATCCATATAATTAATGGTCTTTTGTGCTGACTTCTTTGACTAAGCAGAATGTTTTCAGCAGGTTTTCACTTCTCCTGGCAGTTGAATTGCTTGGATATACCCTAACTGGTTAAATGTTTCATGACTTTCCAGACTTTTTTCCAAGGAAGCAATACCACTCTATGTATCTATGAACTGACGGCACTTTTATTTTAAAACTTCACACAAGCAACATACTACAGATATTCTGTAACTTTTCAACCAACATTTTTTTAAATAAGTTTTTTATTGTGAAAATACTGTACAGAAGGGTTACAGTTATATGAGCAAGGTAATGAGAACATTTCTTATCAAGCATTGTTGCCTCCTTCTTTGTTTTTCCCCCACTATCCCTTCCCTCCCACCTCCTCAACTACACAAACTGCTCTTCCCCCCACCCATCCCTCTACCCCCCTAAATTGTAAAGTTCGTTTTTCAACATAGTGCCTTGTACATCTCATTGTTGCAGTGGGTCAACCTGTATCCCTATTTAAACAATTTGTTTTTCCCTTCCCCTCCCCAAATTGTACCAACATCAAATACAGTGAAAACAGGGGTTATACTGTCAGGGAGGGACATACAAAGCAACAACAACAACAAAAATCACATGGTACCTTATAAATACGTTAGGAACAATAGCAAGCAAGAAAGAAAAAAACAGTTGTGAAGTCATCTTTATACAGACAACTAAGTCATATATTTCATAGTTTTCAATATTTGATAGGAATACAATGATCTATTTTCTATTAATGAACATTTAATGGACATTTACAAATGATGAACCTACACTGACAAATCACTATCACCCACAGCTCACAGATGACATCTGGATTTATCTTGGTGTATGTTCTATGGGTTGTGGCATATGTATACAGACATGTACCCAGCCTTATTGAGTCAACACAGCAATTTCACTGCCTAAAAATCCTCTGTGCTATTTGTCTCTTCTCTCTCACTAGCCATTTACAACTACTGACTTTTTACTCTCCCTCAAGTTCTGCCTTTCTCAGAATGTCAAATTTGGTATCATATGTTGTACAGCCTGTTCAGATAGGATTCTTTCACTCAGTAATAGGATTCAAAATTCTTCCTCTCTTCATGACTTGATGATAAATATTATTCCATGTCTGGATGTGTCAGTTTATTTACCCATTCACCTGCTGAAAAACATCTTGATTGCTTCTAAGTTTTGGCAATTGCAAATGAAGTTGCTATAAATATCTGTGTGCAGACTTTTGTGTGGATATGTTTTCAACTCATCTTGAGTAAATACTAGGAGCATGACTACTAGATCATATGACAGGCATGGTTTGACAAGAAACCTGCCAAACTGTCTTTCAAAGTGACTGTCCCTTTTTGCATTCCTACCAGGAACGAAGAGGATCCAGTTCTTCTATATTCTCAGCAGCATTTGATGGATCAGTGATCTGGACTTGGGTCATTTTATTAAGTATGGAATGGTATCTCACTGTGACTTTAACTTACAATTCTTGGCTGGCATATGATGCCAGGCATCTTTCTTACATACCTATACCTTCTTTTTTTTTTTTTTGTCCGGTTGTGGGGCCTGAACTCTGGGCCTGAGCACTGTCCCTCAGCTCTTCAGCTCAAGGCTAGTGCCCTACCACTTGAGCCACAGCACCACTTCCGGCTTTTTTCTTTATGCTTATGTGGTGCTGAGGAATCGAACCCAGGACCTCATGCATGCAAGGCAAGCACTCTACCACTGAGCCACCTTCCCAGCCCTCCTGTTATAATTTTTAATTGGTCATTACAATGAAATGTTGTATGTTATTTATTTTATTTGTTCTGTTGGTCATGAGGCTTGAACTCTGGGCCTGGGTGTGGTCCCTGCATTCTTCAGCTCAAGGCTGGCGATCTACCACTTAAGCCACAGTGCCACTTCTGGTTTTCTGGTAGTTAATTGGAGATAAGAGTCTCACAGACTTTCCTGCCTGGGCTGGCTTTGAACCGTGATCCTCAGATCTCAGCCTCCTGAGTAGCTAGGATTACAGGTGAGCCACCAGTGCCCAGCATCTGTATTTTATTCTTATAGGTGAAAAATTTGATCTTATTGACATATTAGACTAGTCTAAAAACATTTTGTATTTAGTTGTGTCTAATCTATCTTTCAGTCCATTTTAATGACTGTTTCTTCTTAACATACACTTGGTTTTACTTCTAACTTGTTCGTTCCTTTTCTATAGCATTCTACTCTTCAAAATTCTTTAATTTCATTTTCAACAGACTGTCTTCTTTCAGATTATTCTATGATCTCTAGTCGTTGGGGGCCCATTTCTTCTGTTAGTAGTTTCTGCTTACATTCCTGTATGATGACCTATTTCCTCAAAATCAAGACCACTTCTTCTCTACTAGCTACTGTCCTTTCTACCCCATCTCCGAAGCTTTACAGTAATTCATGAGCTTAAAACAATTCATGCCTGCTAGAACCAAAGTTTCAATGGTTACACAGATAAGATACACAGGTAAACTTACACATACGAAAAATTTCCATATGATAAACGAAATTTAGGAAGAGGGTAAAATAAATGTTTTAAAGAGATCTATTGGTGGTAGCAGTGTTAAGGTACAAGCAAAGCAATGGTAATGCAATATGATTTTACACATAATTGACAGGAAAACAAAAAAAGAACAACTTGATACATTGTCAGGTTTTGTTTTATTTTTTAAAGAGGAAGAATTAAGCTTACTTACCATTAGCGAAACTCTGTCCAATATAGTACTCTAATGCTTTCACGTTTGTTTTTGTCTGGTTTGTAACAGGATCAACAATATCTTCAGTTTCTGTAACATTCAGAAACTGACTCTGTTGAGGGCTACATGTCAGCTCGCAAAACAGACTCATTAGGTTATAGAAACAGGATGGACATCTAAAGAAAAAAATCATATTTTATACATCTTCACAGATAAAGCTAGTAAAAATATGATTTAAAACAGATACAGAAGGGTTGGAGGTATGGGTCAGTTGGTAGAGAGCTGACCAATGAGCAAAGTATCAGGTACCAAGTTCAAGCGCCAGTCTCATGCCCTCACCCCACCCCAAAAAAAAACAACTCCATCTTAGGTACAGAGTATGTACATTTTGCTGAAAAAAGACATTTATTTTCTACAGAAATGTATTTACCTCACAAATTCTTAAAACCTCAGGTTACTTTAACATGAAAAAACAACTTTTAAAACTTCCCTAACTTTACAACATTTATTTTGTTCAGATATAATTTCAAAGAGAAATATGTTTTCTTGAATTCTGTTCTTTGTAGTTTAAAGATGTTTTCCTTTATCCTGGAACTGTGATAATTCTGGTTAAGGAAAAAGACACCAAGCACCAGTGGTTCATGCCTGTAATCCTAGCTAGCCAGGAGACTGACCTGAGGATTGTGTTTCAGGACTACCTTGGGCAGAAAACCTCACTAGACTCTGTCTCCAAAATCACCAGCAAAAAGAAGGCTGGAGGCATGGCTCAAATGGTAGAGCACCAGTCAAACAAGCAAGTTGAGAGGTGCAATGTCCTGAATTCAAACTGCAATACTGCACATATCTCTCATAAAAACGGGGGAAAATAAGTTAGCATATTAGTTTTCATCTTGTAACTTAGAAGACTTTCTTCTAAGCCCTAGATAATAATTCTAGGCCTTCCTAAAACACAGGAGATTTCCTAACAGCTTGTAAAGATAAAAGAACAGCCCTTATGTAAGGTCATGGGTTTGATTCTTAGCATTGTCAAACTAAAACAGAACAGCTGTGTTATTCTCTGGCTGCATGTATTTCAGAAACATGAGTTTTTCAAAGCACTAAATGCTGACTACTGTCTTTCAGGTTCAAAGTTTAAGCCCCTACCTGATATGTGGCAAAAGGGGTCACATTCCTCTTTGGTCCAAGGTTACCTACACAAGCTATTGCTTTATTTTACTTGATTCTCCAAACACAAATAATTGAGATGAGGTTCTACTAGGATCATGGACAACACAGAATGAGGAAGATGTGAAAGAATCTAGTGAAAGAAACAGGCACACACCTGAACTCTTTCTAGAAGCTTGTGCAGAAATCTTAAGAGCCACTTTTGGATAGCACAGTTTTCTTCTGTTTCCATGAATTACTAATCTCTATAAATGCTACTTCATTTCATCTCTACGATCATCAGCTTCACAGCTGCCTAAGATTCCATATGCCAGACTGTCCCATTTGCTAGTATAAGTAAAGCTTTGGTATCTCTGATGTCATGGGGGAAATTTTGACTATATGTTGATATTTAAATCTATAATGCCCCACTTAGAGAAGTGCTAACTAAATATGTTCCGATCAAGTGTCAAAGGCTCCAATCCAGCTACATTGAAGTCTAACAACAATCTATAATGACCCAATTAGACCCTAATTTTTTTTTTCTGCCAGTCCTGGGGCTTTTCTCAGGACCTGGACACTTTCCCTGAGCTTCTTGTGTTCCAGGCTAGTGCTCTACCACTTGAGTGCCTCTTCTGGCTTTTTCTGAGTAGTTATTGGACTTTCTCACAGACTTCCTTGTCCAGGATGGCTTCAATTCTGGGATCTCAGACCTCAGCCTCCGGAGTAGCTAGGATTACAGGCATGAACACCAGCTCCCGGCAGATTCTAACTTTTACCCTACTATTACTTTATGTAAAATCCCGAGAGAACAATTTAGTGATGGTTTTCCACTCTGTATTATCCATTTCTGCTAAAAAGCAGGGTTTCCTTGGTGGAAGCTGGCTTATGCTAGCCACCTACAGTGATATCTGCAAAGAACATTTTCTTCTCTTTATATTTGCTCCCCATCCATTTTTATCAGTGTGCTGAAATCTGAAAAAAGTTTACAAAGATACCACAATCTACTGTTGTAAAGAGTACCACCAGCGTGTTCTTTTGCCCATTTGAAACTGCTAGGTAGGCCTATAGAAGAATAACTATTGTGCAGCCCATTTGCACTAGCTTTGTCATAGAGAACAGATGAGCAAAATGAACTTTGACAAACCAGTCAAGTACACAACAGCAAGCTTAGCAGTCCTAAGGTACTAAGGACCTGATATTAACACATTATTTCAACACAGGAAGAACACAAGGGACGTGCAAGGCAGGGGAAGCGAGGAGAAGGAAACAGCAGCACAGGACTGTATGGATGTAGACAGGGTCTTGCAGAACCTGAGAGGTCTCAAGAACCTCTCCTCCTCACAGAGCACCAAAAGTTCTTGCCTGCCTTTAGAAAGAATAACATGTCGTTTTCAGGGAAATGGATGGACCTAGAACGAACCATGTTAAGTGAGATAAGCCAAGCTTAGAGACACAAACGGCACATGTTTTCTCTCAAATGCAAAGCTAGATCTAAAATACACTGGGACATGATGAATTATACAGGACTCTAGGCATTCACGCCTAGGATATTATTAGGGGAAGAATACAAAGGCACAATGCCTATGTGCTTCTGATCACATAAAATAATATTTATCAAAATGAACTCCAGGAAATGGAAACAAAAAGGATTTTTTTCTTTGTTTTTTTTTTTGTCTTGTTTATTTATCTTTAGGAGGGCAAAAGGGAGCACAGAAATGGAGGGACAGAGAGTCAACAAATGCAGCAGTGGTACTCAATTAGACACTATATTGAAAATGAACTATACAAGTTGTGGGTAGGGACAAGAGGGAAAACAGGGAACGGAGGAAGGGGTAACATTGTCTAAAAAGAAATGTAGTCTTTGAGCCAGGCACCAGTGGCTCATGCCTATAATCCTAGCTACTCAGGAGGCTGAGATCTGAGGATTGCGGTTCAAAGCCAGCCCAGGCACCAAAGTCCGTGAAACTCTTCTCTCCAATAAACCACCAGAAAACTGGAAGTGGTGCTGTAGCTCAACTGGTAGAGCTCTAGCCTTGAGCTGAAGAGCGGAGGGACAGTGCTTAGGCCCAGAGTTCAAGCCCCATGACCGACAAAAAAACAAAAACAAAAAGAAATATAGTCTTTGCCTGACTTAAGTAACTGTAAAGCCTCTGTACACCACCTTTATAATAATAATTTTTTTAAAGTTCCTGCCTGAAAAAAAGCTACCCACAGAGCAGAAACCTTGTGAGGCGAGGACATCTCAGAGGAAACCAAGTCTGTAACTCGAGGAGAACAAAGTTAAATCAGGATTACTTCCCTTTTATCTTTGACAAGTTGTAAGAATGCGTTCTTAATAAAATAGATCTAAAAACCTGACTTTTAAAAGGAAATCAGAAAATTACTGATACCAAGGTACCCAAAGCCCATGGGTTCTATTTGCCCAGCCGTCAACCTACCTAGACAGAAACTGTAGAGGCAGCTGCAGGTTACTTTTCAATGTCTGAAGCTGCTGAACATCACAACAGACACTGACATTGTCATAGAAGAATCCTGGACAGAGTTCCTTTCAGGAAAGAAGACATGGAAATGAAAGCAGTAGAGTTAGAGGAAGGACAATGTTGCCTTCTTATGTAGCTGAAAAGTTCTTGCAGAATTCTTTTAACCATATTATCCATAAACTAGGGATTCTCAGGTAGAAGCCATAGAAATATCTAGTGTTTCTTCTTTTGAGATTTGTCTTCTCTATGACATTTTCTCTTTTCTATTATTTTTGCTCTTCTCATATTGTGTGTGTGCGTGCACATGAATGGTTAGTTAGAGATAACTGGCTCATGGACTTTCCTGCCTAGTCTGGCTTTGAATCTCAGTCCTCAGATCTCAGCCTGAGTAGCTAGAATGGTAAGCCACCAGTGCCTGGCATCTTTTCACATATTTTTTTTTAAGTTCAATCACAGTGCTATTCACAACTGCCCTTAGTACTCCAGATAAAGTAAAAATCTTATTAATCCTAATGAAAGGAGTAGCCCAGAAGATTATTATGTCAACTTGATTTTTGAGAACTTAAGTCTCTAAAACCAGTCTTGTCACCTAGACATTCCCAGTTTTTTTCCCCCTTATTTCCCTATGTATTAAGGGTGGTAAAAGTGCTAATAAAGTAGAACTCTGGTAGTGGTCAAAATTCATAGGATCTCAGAAAAGCACAGAAAATTCACTAAAAATGAAGAGGAAGAAGTCTCAGCCTATTAACAGCACAGTCTAATCAAGGCCTGATATTTGGCAACAACAACAAGCTAAATTGAAATACATTTTGCTGAAGTCCCAGGAAGTTACATTTTTGGGGCTTGAACTCAGGGCCTGGGAGCTATCCCTGAGTTCTCTGTGCTCAAGGTTAGCCTCTAAATAGTAAGTAACCTGCTACTGGGAAACATCATGAGAGGTACAAAGTCAGCCCCTGAAAAATTAAGCCTCTGGAGTTATCTCTGTATTGTGGTTATGGGTTAAGTCTGGGAAAAGATTTAAGCCTTACTTCATCATTATACTTAAGGTCTAAATTAGATGATCTTATGATCAACATTTTGTGCTTCCAATGAACTTACCTGTATTAAGTCATACCCATCCTTAGGCAGTGGTTTTGGTGGCCCAGAATATTTGCAGTTGTACCTCTTATCTCCAGATACAATTCCACATTCTCCATACCAAACACAGGACTGTGAAAACACCTACAGAAAGTCAACATAAAATTAAGTGTCACAGGTTTCAATTGAAAAACAAATTTCAAAGGAAAAAAATGTTCACTCAAGGACCTTCACAGAACCTCTGCATGCTGCCTGCAAAATGTCACAAAAGGCAAGACATACTTGTTAAATATTTTAAAAATATTTAACATAAATATTTTAATAAAAACAGAAATGCCCAGAGTGGATTTTTCCAGTCAGTGAAGTAATGGTTACTATTTACGTGATTTATACTCCCTACGTATTTGTTAAAAAGGAAACTATAATTACTATCTTTTTTTTGTTGTTGTTGTTGGTTGTGGGGCTCGAACTCTGGGCCTGAGCACTATGAGCTCTTCAGCTCAAGGCGAACATTCTACCAATTGAGCCACAGTGCCACTTCTGGTTTTGTGGTTAATTATGGAGATAAGAGTCTCACGGATGTTCCTGCCCAGGCTGGCTTTGAACTGCGATCCTCAGATCTCATCCTCCTGAATAGCTAGGATTACAGGCATGAGCCACCATCACCCGGCTTAGTTACTTTTAAGATCACTAATTTCACAATGTTTAGGAAAGCAAGATACTCTGTAAGTTAGTGATTATTATATTAGTTTTGTACATCTCCTCAAGGAACTATATAAGCTCTAAAACAGAGGTGGGAGAACATTTTTTCCTGTCAACGGCCATTTGGATATTTATAACATCATTAGAAGCCATACAAAATTATCAAGACAGACAGACTGCAAAGGGAAGCCAATGAAAAGTCTGTCCTGTCATGTACCAAATGATTTCAAAGACTTATAAGGCTCTAGAGAAGTCAGTTCTCACCACTGCTGGATTATTTCTACAAGTTCTCAGGTTAATTAATATTAGTTCTTTGTAAGCAACCTAAATAAAACCACAAATACCCCAATAACCCTACCTAGAGAAGGAGGAGGAACACTTTGTCCTAGAGACCAAAATAGACAGCAAGAAATGCATATGTTAACATTAAGCAAAGTCATCCAAGCAATAGTAATTTTTTTTTTTTTGGTTGTGGGGTTTGAACTCAGGGTCTGGGTGCTATCCCTGCGTTCTTTCTGCTCAAGGCTAAACTCTACTACTGTAAGCCACAGCATCACTTCAGCTTTTCTGGTGGTTAACTGGAGCTAAACTCTCCAATCTGCCTGGGTGGCTTTGAACGGTGACCCTCAGATCTCAGCCTTCTGAGTAGCTAGGATTATGGGCATGAGCCACCAGCGCCTAGCTGCAATAATAATTTTTAAAAGTATCTTATGAAAAGCTTTCTCAAGAGCCACTCATATTCCTCATGTGAGAGTCACAAGGCTATAAGAAAATTCGGAAGTGGGACGGGTGCATTATGAATCAGCACTCTGTTCTAAGGGTACTGCCCAAAGCAACCCCATGCGTTGCATCATAATGAACTTGGACAGCACAAAGGACCCAGAAAGCCTGGGACACAGCCAGGCACACAGCAAGCCAGGGACACTGCCCAACAGGGAAACAGAAGAAAAGAAGAAGCAATGAGGACTCCCAAGATACCTGGTGGAATCGCCATTAAAAAAAAAAAAATCAATAGGAAGCCAGGTGCTGAGAGCTGAGGATTGCAGCCCAGCCAGGAAAGTCTGTGAGATTATCTCCAATTAACCATCAGAAAACTGGAAGTAGCACTGTGGCTCAAATGACTTAGTGTTAGCCTTGAACAAAAGAAGCTCTGAAACAGTTTCTAGACCTTGAATTCAAGTCCCAGGTCTGGCACACGTGTGTGCACGCACACACACACACACAATCAATAGAAACGACTATGGCTTTTCTCTAGTAACAGTGGCACTTGATCCACACCTGTGAGGAGCAACAACAGTCTATGTTAGTCCCCAGATAAAATACAAATCCCACAATGGTCCCTGAAACTCTAAAATATGAAATAACACTTAGTGTGCATTACCCCCCCTCAGGTTTTCTAAAAAAATAAAATGAATTTGAAATAAAAATTACAGAAAGTACACAGCTGTAATCCCAGCTACTCAGGAGGCTGATGCAGGCAAATCAAGAGTTTGAGGCCAGCCTTAGAAAATTAATGACAGTCTGTCGTCTCAAAAAAAGTGGGAGAAGGGAGGTTGGGGATATAGCTTATTGTTAGGGTACTTGTCTAGCATGACAAGACCTTCACGTGCTGTTAATATATATATATATATATATATATATATATATATATATATGCATACACACATTACTTATTCTCTCCTCCCCTTCTACCTAGTTTTTGTTTTTTGAGACAAGGTTTAGCTTGCTAGCTCAGGCTGACTCTGAATGCTCAATCTTCTGGTGTTAGTCCCAAGTAGTACTGGAATTACAGACATATGCCACCACACCCAGCTATGTATTCCTCTTTTGACCCAGTAAAAGTCACAAGTTCAGGCCACAAAGGAGGGAAATTACCCAAATGAAGAAGCTAACCATAGTAATACTAAGAAATGCAACTCTGAATTTCTTTTAGTTCATTACCAATTTAACTGAAACTTGAAAAGGTGAAAGCCAATTATTAAGGTGGATAAAAGGCCAAGAGTTAATATAACTTAAAACCAGAGTTCCTTGCTAGTTCTCAAGAATTCTCAACTAACTGGCTGCCAAGCAGGTCATACAAAAGAGTTAAAAGGAAAATTTCTTTGACTAATAAAGTTTAGTAGAGTTTATTTGTGCAAAGTAAAACAAAGGCTGATTTCCTAATCCAGAAGATCCTAGAGCCAGAGCAGGTTCTGAGAATTTCAACAAACAACGTGATCAGTCAGCACTGATAGAAAAGCTGGAGGGAGGTGCAGAAAAACAACTTAATCTGCTGTAGCTTAGTCCATCAATGGTTACAGCTTCATTAGTTAACTGGGTATAGGACCTCCTGTACCCAACCCCATGGTCAATATTAAATTCTCTCCTTATGTGGTCTATCTGACCACCTGGCTACCACAAGTCTGTGGCCTTCCACAAATTTTAGGTAGAGAAACTCAGTAACAAACCACAGTTCCACAAAGCACACAAAAGGGTGTCTGGAGCCTAAATTCCCCTTCTTCAGCATTTGCTGCTACAAAGGCAAACAAGATGACCCAACACTGTTTCACAGAGATCATCCTTCCTAAACTACATCATTTATTTCAAAGCAAAGCAAAGCACTGTTTCTATAAATCTGGTGGCACTGTTTCTACAAATGTGGTGAAAAGGGAAGGCACAGAGTACAGTCAGGAGCCCTGGGTTCTGATCCTAAGAACTCATGAAGCTTTCAATCAAAGACTGGATAGTTGACCATATCTAACTCATGTTACTTAACCAGGAAGAAATTTTCACCACCTGAGAAATGAAGCTTAATAATTGTTGCACATCTCACAAGTTTAGTTTGAAGACCAAATAAGGGAATATGTACTAAGTACTTAATAAAACATGTTACAGGAGACAATCAAATATAAAGAATTATTGGGGGGGAGGAATGAGGGGAGGGAAGGGATAGTGTGAGAACAACAAAGGAGAGGGTAACAATGCTCGACAAGAAATGTACTCATTACCTTACTCATGTAACTGTAACCCTTCTGTACAGCATCTTTACAATAAAATGAAATTAAAAAAAAAAGAATTATTACTGGGGCTGGGAATGTGGCTTAATGGTAGAGTGCTTACCTAGCATGCATGAAGACCTGTGTTCAATTCTTCAGTACCACATAAACAGAAAAAGCCAGAAGCGGCACTCTGGCTCAAATGGTAGAGTGCTAGCCTAGAGCAGAAGATGAATAGGGACAGTACCCAGACCCAAGCCCCAGGACTGGCAAAAACAAATTTTTTTAGACTGCATAAAAAAGAATTATTACTTATTCTCAATCAAGAAGTCCCAAGGAACTGAAGCAGCTGAGGTCTCTTTGGGTCTGAATCTTCACTCTCAGGCTTGCTTTTCATAATCACTTCCCTACAGAAGTAGTCCTAAGCAAGTGGATTAGGGGATAGTAGAGTAGATGGGTAAGTCATGCTTTCCCACCATAGCTTTTGGAGGACTTTTGGCCTGAAATTTCCAAGGCCTGAGGCTGAGCTGGTTTATATCCACATAACCTTGAGTCACATCTGCATGGTACTTAGATAACCCTGCATGTAGCCTTCAGACTGAGTGTACATACACAGCCTTGTGTGACCATCCTTGGACAGATGCTACTTTGTCTAGAAAGGGTATAAACAGGCACCACTGAAGAATGGGACATTTGCTACTGGACATTAGCTGCCAGTAGGGGACAGAATGTGAACCTGTGCACAGAATGAAGCTGGTGCAGCTGTGAGACTATCTGGGATGAGCCAGCAATGTGCTGCTGTGCTGCAGGATGCTGTTGATACTGCTAGTGATGAAGCTATGGACTGAGAGCCCTGAAAAAACACAACCTCCATCCATCTACCTTACCTGACATCTTTCTGTGGCCTGCACAAATCAAAGGAAAATCTGAGGCCTGAAAAGAATCGGCCACATTGGTACCCAGTAGTACTTACAAGGCACTGTGTTCCTGGTACTGTTTTTAAGTACTCTTTATACATCAACCTAATTAATCCAATCAAGATTTGATGTGGGAGGTGCTAGAATGGCACTCATCAGTACAGAAATCGAGTCATCAAGAGACTATATAATTTGTCGGAGATCACACAAATTGTGGCCAAGCCAGCATTCAAACCAGAACAATTTGGCTCAGAAACGGACTCCCCATAAAACATAACCTATTGCATAATTAAGGCCTTCTTACTAGCATTACACCTACCTACTCCCACCTGTCCAAACTCAAGAAAGAGGTTAGGTGACTCATATTGCCACGCTGATGGGAAAGGCCTCTTTACTTGAGATCTCTCCCTTCCTTTCTCCTCCTACCGCCATCTTCACCTGAGTCTTTTTGTAACCTCAACCACCTGATTTCCTTATCCTTATCATCATCCTTATCATCATCATCATCGCCAGTGTCGAGTGTTGTCCCTGAGCTTCTTTTGCTCAAGGC